TCATTGGGGGTCTTCCTCTTTAACTCCAACCCACCACTTTACCAAACATGATATTCTTCCTCAGGGACTGATCCCTCCTCATAATATATCTGAAGTTAGAGAGACAAAGTCTGGACATCTGGCTTCCAAGGAGCATTCTGGCTGTACTTCTTCTAACACAGATTGGTTTGTTCTTTTGGCAGTCCATGGTACTTTTAATTTTCTCCTCCGACATCATAGCTCAAATGCATCAACTCTTCTACAGTCTTCCTTATTCACTGTTCAACTTTAACATGCATATGAGGTTATTGAAAGTACTATGACTTGGGTCAGGTGCATCTTAGTCCTTAACCTGATATCTTTGCTCTTCAAAACCTTAAAGAAGTTTTGCACAGCAGATATGTATGCCCTAATGCAATATGTCACGTGATTTCTTGACTGCTGCTTCAATTAATGTTGATGGTTGATTCATGTAAAATGAAGTTTTTGACAACTTCAATCTTTTCTCAATTTATACGGATGTGTTTATTGGTCCAGTGGTGAAGGTTTTTGTTTCCTTTACACTGAGGCGCAACCCATAATGAAGGCGGTGGTCTTTGCTCTTCACCGGTAAGTATTTTAAGTCCTCTTTGCTTTCAGCAAATAAGGATGCATCATCTGCATGTTGCAGGTTGTTAATGAGTCTTCCTCCATCCTGATGCCACGTCTTTCTTCTTATAATCCAGCTTCTAGGGTTATTTGCTCAGCATACAGACTGAATAAGTACGGCAAAAAAATACAATCATGGCACACACCTTTCCTAATTTTAAACCATTTGTTGTTCCTTTGTTCTATACTAACAACTGCCTCTTGGTCTATGTACAAGTTCCTCATGAGCACAATTAAGTGTTCCAGAATACTCATACTTCACAATGCTGTCCAATGCTTGTAAAGACCCATATAATGGAAAGCCTCTGCATAGTCAATAAATTACAAGTAAACATTTTTCTGGTATTCTCTGCTTTCAGCCAAGATTCATCTGACATCAGCAATGATAATCCTTGTACCACATCCTCTTCTGAATTCTGCCTGAACTTCTGGAAGTTCTCTGTCGATGTATGGTTGGATGTTATTTTGAATTATCTTTAGCAAAATTTGATTTGCAACTGATATTAAGAATATTGTCTAATGATTTCTGCATTCCCTTGGGTCACCTCTCTTTGGAATAGGCATAAATATGGATCTCAGTTGGCCAAACAGTTGTCTTACAAATTTCCTAGTACTCAGTGCTTCCAGTGTTGCATCAGTTTGTTGAAAGATTTCTAGTTTTATTCGATCAATTCCTGGCTCCTTATTCTTTATCAATGCCTTCAATGCACTTTGGACTTCTCCTTCAGAATCACTGACTCTTTATTATATGCTACCTCTTGAAATGGCTGAACATCAACCATTTCTTTTTGGTCCAATGAATCTGTGTATTTCTTCCACTTTCTTTTGATGCTTTCTGCATCTTTCAAAGTTTTGCCATTGTTGTTGCTCTTGTTTTTAAGAGCTGTTGAGTTGGTTACAATCAATAGTGACCCTGTATAGGGTTTCCAAAGAGTGGCAGGCGAGCTTGAACCACTCACTTGCGGTTCAAACTGACTTTGCAGTCCAGTGCATTATCCCGCAGCACCACACCAGG